GGGGGGGCCCAACCACCGAATGCAATAGATTGCTTATGTCATACCCCATGTATTCATATTCAATGCGAAACTAAGTAAAATTATCATCAATTTATAAAGTTTTTTTTTTCTTCGCTGATATCACATTATAAAGTTAGGCCAGCAAAAAATAGTCCAGAAGGATGATATGGCTAGCGTCGGGGACAAAATGGGCTTGGGCCTAAATTAGGAGATCCTTTAGTACAGTTAAAATATAGTACAGCCCCACATAGCAAATAAATTTCTATTTTGAACCGATTTCTTTTATCTATCTTAAGGTTTATTTTCATTTTAATACTCCAAAATTTACTTCTTTATTCATTTTGATACCCTAAAGTATATTTTTCAACACTTAAGATATGTCAATGTTTCAACCCAATTCCACTTTGACACCCATAACATACTTAATTTTGACACTTTGATACCCTAAAATTTGAATCTCATTTCACTTTGATAATACTATCTAGATTCAATTAAATTTTCTATGAATTTTCTATCAGTGTTTAATAATTAGGCAAATTAAATCTAAACGTATTACATGTTAAAGATATAATACAATTTAATTAAAAAATCTAGCAAAATTTGCATAAAGTATCAAAGTGAAATGAGAGGTAAATTCTAGGTATCAAAATGTTAAGTACTCTTCGGTATTAAAGTGAAATCGGATTCAAAAGTTTGGAGTATCAAAGTGTTGAAATATATTTTTGCTATCAAAGTGGATAAAAAGGTAAATTTTAGAATAGCAAAGTGAAAATAAGTCTTATTTTAATATCAATCTACAGTGGCGGGTCCCAAAAAAAGAAACAAAGAAAAATTACTTCGGAATTAACACATCATCATTCTGATAAGTTGTATATTCCTCTATGTACTTAGATTTTAGATTCTAAAATATAAAAGATATATATAACACACGGCATATAATAATATTACTTAATTTCAAAATACGAAGATCTACAAAACTAAATTTTGGGTACTGATATTAAAACAATCTATGGTATGATAAAAACCCTGAATTTTATTTTCTACCAATAATCACTGGGGAAGCTAAATTTTGAGATTAACTATAACTTACTTTAAAAATAGAAAAATATAGTAAGTCAGGAGATAATTATAAAACAAATGTAATTTGGAGCGTGTACACGTAGAGAGCCCAGTAAAAACCTAGGGGTATTATTGAGTAAATTCTAGCGC